GGTATTTAAATATATAGAAGCTATTTCGGAACCTAGAGAATTAGAGTTTAAGCTACTATTAGCTAATAACCTTAAAGCTAGATAATATACCTTTAATACTTCCGGAATCCTAATTAAGGAAGCTTATAGTAACGAGCCTTTTCCTGCTTTCCGAAATAAGCCTAGAGAATAGGCCCCTATTATAATTTTAGCTTTAATTTAACCGAATTTAGCTAAGAAAAATAGAGCTAATTCAATAAAGCCTAATAAGAAAGCTACTAATAAAGCTAGTAAAACTAGTATAACTATTAGAACTAGTATAATTAGTAGAACTAGTATAACTAGATAAGAAGAATCTAATAAGAATAGAAAGTAAGCTAAGCCTAAGACTCCTAATAAATAATAGAGATCTAAATACTAGACTAAACATAAGATTAGTAAAATAGAGAAAAGCAAAAAGGAATCCTCTATTTTAAAAAGAAAGATACTATCTAGAAAGACTCTCTTAACTATATCTAGAACCAAAAAGTAAAAGACTAAGGATATTAAGTCCGGAGAACTTAATAGTAATATTAAATATACTTGCAAAATACTAGCTAAATAGAAATTAATACTTTTTTAATAAAATGAGTATACCTTTAAGGAAGTATATAGTAGTATTTTGGGACCTATTTATAAGCGAGAATACTATAGGATTAATAATAGATTTCTTAAAGTTCCCTATATAAGATATATTTAGCAATTTACTAATATTCTCTCTATTAATATACAAGATATTAAAGATACTCTAAAGCTAGTTACTAAGATCTATAAAGTTACTAAAGGCAAGAAGTATATTTCTATTACTTAAATAAATAAGGAGATATAGGATTTCTTCTTTAAAATATAGGAAATTAAGTAATATAGATATAAGTACTATATTTCCGATTAATTCTGCTCTAATCTATAGCTCTAATTTAATACTACGGTTCCTGTTCCTAAATCTAGTATTACTAATCTGGGTATAAATAGCTATATTTATAAGAAGAATTACCTGAAATAGATTAAGAAGCTTGGTATTTGAAAACTCTTAATAGTAAAAATAAAGATACTATAGTTCTATCTCCGAAAAGACAATATATTAATATATAAAAATCTAGGTAATAGCTATTTTATCTTAGCCTCTTAACTTTTAATAGCAGATCTATTAATATAGCTCGGATTTTATAAGGCATTAAATAAGTATTCTATTTACCTAGTTACTTACTCTTAGCTAGTCCAATACTTTACTTCTAGAAATGTTAATTATAATTAGTATAAAGGCAATATTAAAGATCTAGCTATTATTAAAGCTTTAAATAGTAAATTCTATCTTAGTAAAAAGTATTAGAATATCAGCTATATTTTCCTTATAAACTGCAAAAAAGCTATTACCTTTAGTAAAAAGTTCTTTAAAGATATTAATTATTCTTCTATTTCTAATAAATTTGAACCAGAAATAGCTAAGGAATTAAGCAAGTATTTACTAAAGGTAGTAGGAGAAAAGACTCCGAGTATAATCTATATAACTAGACAAATAAATACTTTTAGCTAGGTAATCTATAAGTCTGGAATTATAGGAAAGCATTAATTCTCGGATAATATATAAGTTAAAAAATAGCTTAATAATAATTTACTATTTAATAGGCCTTTTATTATAGTTCTAATAAGTCTAGTTACTATTAAGAATAGAATATACGAAAATGAAGTCTTCTATAAGGTTATTAAAGCCTTTTATCTAGAGCTTTCTTTATTTACTAATGGTTAATTTAAGAATATAATAAATAATATAAAGTTCGAAGGAGCTATCTATTTAAAGTATATTAGTATAATTTATAATATGATTTACTATAATAAGCCTCCTTAATATCCTATAGTAAAGGCGGAAATTAAGTAATAGTTAAAGGCAGATACTAATTAATATAGAGAACTATATCGGATTTAATATAAGAATACGGCTTAGCGGGTTCGGATTGCCTTTAAGTAAGTTCGGGAGTATGAAATAAGACTATTTAAGGGTAATAAGTCTTATTTTAGATATATAGAGAAGAAATTAGATTAACTAATAGAGGAGAATCCTGAATATTTCATTATTTCGGACTCTGAGTAGGATTTTTCTATTATTTTTGGTACTTAGAAAACAAGTACAAATAAATGAGAGGTCGGATGTAATACGGCAGGCTATATTTATTAAAAATTATATTATTTTGGCGGTTTTAAGGTTTAGGTTATATAGCAAAGGCCATAGCCTTTTATATATGACTTGCAGAAATTATATAAGAAAGCTGGTTTTTCTATAGACTTAGAGAATAATCCTTTATAAGTATTTAATTAATTAAGCTTTTATATACTATATACTATTTATACTTTACTATTTATGCTTTTGATTTATTATTTTGCTATTAAGTTACATTTTGTATTCTGGTATACTTTATATAGGTTTTTGTCTTGTTACAGTTTCCCTCCTATAGTATATATTCCCTAGTATTTAGCTAAGCTTGTAAAGTACTTTACTTAACTAGGAAATACGATCCTATACAATACGTATAATTCCGATTGCCTGTACGATTCTGATTGCAAGCTTTACCCAAAATAGGAAACTAGATCTATAATATCTGATACCTGTCTATACGCCATTATATATACCCATTACAGATAATAATATGCCTATACTAGAAGCTAGAATTACGGTTTCTCCTGTTCCTGATCCTACTCCTGATCCTACTCCTGCTCCTGCTCCTGCTCCTGCTTCTATACCTAGTAGGTTAATAGATTTAAATATACTAGTAGATCTGACGTTTTTACTAGCCTTCGCTCCCGCTTTACCTACTAAACCTCTACTAAAGTCTATATTAAAGAGGAAGCAATAAGTAGAAGTAACTATATCAAGCGATAATAATGATAATAGATTATATCTTGATAATAGAGGGAAGGAATTACCAGGGAATAGTAATTATAGGCCGGGGAATAGGTCAATATATAGGGATAATCGGGGGCAGTTCAAAAAAGCAAGAATAGAGTAAGGTTAATATTACTGGGCGCATTTGACTATAATATATGGGAATTACGTATTTGGCCATTATTAGGTGTGCTTTCCATATAAAATATGGCCATTAAAAACATCGCGATTTATGGTTTTCTAATTTTGCGATAAAATAATACGAAGGTACAGTGGTCAAGTAAAGTAATGTTTTGACAGGGGGTCGCTGCGAACACACGATTTCAACACCAACAACTCTTGCTATACCTGACCAAATATCATTTTTAAAATGCCGGAATACTCCCTAAGATTTGGTGAATATATTAGTGTATTTTTTTAACATTTTTATCTGTTGATGTTGTTGCGTTACAAGGTTGAAAAGTTTGGACCCCTGCTAGCGCTATTACTTTACTTGCCCGCTGTACCTCCGTAGATGCAGTAGCGTCGCTAAATCAGCCCGAAGGGGTTCCATGCACCCTGCCTTGGACCAGGGGCTACAGTTATTACCAACATTCTTGGCCCCGAAGAACATCTCCTATCAAAGACACTGGGCTAGATAAAGGCTATTTTGGGGTTGGTCCATGGGAAGCAAATCAAACCCTTGACTTTCTCCTGCCGTATCGAAAAATGTAATTCTTCTCGGTTTCAGCACTGTTCCGTGCCGCTTCGGCCCCATCTGCTCGGCTCGATTGCCAGGAGAACACGCCACTAAGGTTGGACACCCCTTTCTAGGTTGCTTTTGCCGAGCTTAATGCCGTTTACCACGTTTCGGCTTCTGCCGCAGCCACAAAACCCCTCTCGCCTGACTCTTGTTGCCACACAATTGGCTTTAGGCTAAGAGAGGAAAGTGATTACCGAAAGTGGCGCAGTTCTAGATCAAAAAGCGCTGGATTCTGAGTTCAGCAAGTTTTGAACATTAGGGAACGCCTTCCAAGGTCCTCACTTAGCCAAGTGGGGTTTTCAAGCTTCCGAACGCGTCCTCACACCCTTAACGGCAATACAGAGACAATCATCCTCCGTGACAACTGTCCCCTATATAATTTCTTATTTCTTATTGACGTTGGACCCACAAACTTCCTAAGTCGGTTTCGAACACTTCGTGGAGTTTTAAAGCTTGGGGATTTTTCAGCCACAAAGGATTAAAGGTTGCCGTTGACTGAAACTGCCCGACCGACCCCAAAAAGCCGACGACCAATTGAGTGATTTTGTGCGGGAAGGAGAGAAGTGGCACTATTGCATCCAGCCACCAAAGAAAATAACGCATATGAGCGAGTGTAATTGGAGGGAAGCTTATCTCTTCCAAGCAATACAAACGCGTTGTCAAGTACTGTATAGGTGGCAGGGGCAGACTAAAGCGGGGACTGTCGGTAACCCGGCAAAGATGACATGCCCGCGAAACTCCTCAAAACTTAAACCGTCCCGCACAACTGGTTCCTGGTACTTGTCCTCCATGTCGAGTTTAATCACTTTCTTTGTGCAGTCTACTGGAATACTGCATCGTGAACTGTATAGAACCTGGGTGCAGGGTGCAGTCCAGAACAAATTCGATGGATGCTATCTCTAGTCCATTTTGACATCTTGCGCCAAAGGGGCAGACAGGAAATGGTGAAGCTAGATCTCGACGGTACTTCACAGACATGTAGTATATTGACGTTTAAGTAACAGACCTACGGCGACCGACTCCTCCTGTGCCGCAAGGGCCATGAACACACACGGCACGAGACGGGTCGGCTCCCCTCGTCCCCATGCGGTAGGATCTTTAATTTTGGCTAGCAGAAGCACGCGAATGTTTTTGAGACATGGAGAAGCCTCGTTTGGGGTCTATGTTCAGTCAATGCCGTTAGACCATGTGTAGGTGGCACTTCCCTCGAACTTGTGAAGTCTTCAAATCTGCAGGGCCAAACGACAACTTAGCTTTACCATAACAATATCTTTTATCACTTTAAAACTTCTTTCTTCGCCTTCCTTTGTTCCATCCAACTGCATTATCTTTCGGGTCGGTTCTTCGATTCACGGGTTTATAATGGCGGATAATAACGGCATAAGCGGTGGATTGGAAGGGACGACCCTACCCCTTGCGATGACTCTCAGCGCTTTTACGGCCATAGCGTGGTATAACGTTATCGATCTCAACGTTTCCATTTGGATAACCTTCAAGAGACGTCGCGGGCTTTACTTCTATAGCCTGCTGGTATCCTCATGGGGAATCATGATATATGCACTAGCATTTCTCATGAAGTTCTTCCAAGTCTGGAAAAATGACTACGTTTCTGTTGCTTTGATTACCATCGGCTGGTATGCTATGGTTACGGGCCAGTCTCTTGTACTCTATTCTCGACTTCACCTCGTCGTCCGCGACAAACAAAAGATCAAATGGGTTCTCTACATGATTATCATCGATGTTTTCCTTTTTCATTTTCCAACAACAGTTTTGACTTTTGGGGTAAGTGGCCACCGTAGGGGAACAGATATTTCATGGGCTAAAAATCCACTTAGGCAAATTCACCTCACGCCGATATTTTCTCCACGCCATATTCAATCATGGAAAAGATTCAGGTCACCGGATTCTGTATCCAGGAATTCATCATCTCTGGTCTATACGTTCACGCAACAAGACAAATACTCAAACCAGGAGAGACCTTTCAGAAGAAGCGCTTTCGGCGGGTCATGCGACACTTGATTTATGTCAACATTCTGGTGATTTTAATGGATATCACTCTCCTCGGCACCGAGTATGCAAACCTTTACGACATTCAGATCACCTTCAAAGGCACTCTCTACAGCATCAAGCTTAGGCTCGAATTTGCCATTCTCAACCAGCTGCGGTCGATTGTACATCCCTCTGGCACCTCATACGACAACGGCGCAAATTCTCAACCTGGCCCGAGGGATATCTCATTGCACACATTTCAAAATCAAAACACCGCTTCACAAGCTCCCGCCAACGGGAATTCGTCAACGGTATATGCAAGCAAGCATGCCAAGTCGCCATTTGCTGGAGACCTCGAGGGTAATCGTGTTATGATGACGACTGATGTTATCGTACTGAATGAGGAATTGAAGCAAGACAAGAAGGGAGCTGAGGATGAAACAAGCTTAGAGGACCTTGCTGCGACGTCTGGAGGTGGTGGAAGCGCAATTGTTACTGGTAGGGCTAGCCGACAGAAGGGGGCCTATTCTTCGAATTCATCGGAGATTGAATTTGCCGGAGCAGGGTATTAAGCTTCTTGCCTTTGTGTTAGCGCCTCGCGGTACGGCGATCCCCATTCTGTTTGAACTTGATGTACCTTAGGAAGAACTGCATGTAGCTTTATAGCCTTTATTGACAGAGAAGGATCCCCCCCCCTTTTTTTTTGACGCAAAACTTGGAGATGGGTTTTGCTGTGATCCAGTAGACGTCTTGGTCTCCTTGCAGCCATTCCGTAATGTCCGACCAAGCCAGGGACAAATCTCTGTCCGGGGTTGAATACTCAACCAAATGTCTTTGGTGAGCTTTGCAGACTTGAAATCTGTTTTTCTTTGCATTCAAACAGGAGAGCAACAAGAATACGCTTAGACATAACACAGCTCGCCTCTTCGGCACCTAGGCGGGTTGACCTTGCAGAAGACGTTTGGAGATCTTCGATTGCGGCTTATTTATTTGCTTCTAATTTCATGCTATAGGCTATATCCAGGAGCCCATTGACCTGCTGGCTTCTTGTGGAAGTGTTTCGATGCTGGATGTTAGTCTTCGGTGAATGAGGAACTCCGAGTCATGTAAAGCGGGTGAGCAGACATGAGTTGAGCCTGAGCTAGGCGGTGCTAGTCCCACGAGATAGTGGGTTGGGAAGAGTGGACATTCCGGTGGAGAAACAGAGAGTCTCACACTAGGGTATTTTCATGGCTTTTTCCATTTCCGTCTTTGAGCTTGAGCTGCTGCTACTTTAGCCTGAACTATGGGTGAGCAAGCTGAAGTCGAAGGTGACTCAGTTGAGCATTCCAGAGTGCGGCCTTAGCGCACGTTAAGGAAGTCTGAACATCACTAAAGAGCTATTCTAGTATACGGATGACCCGGAGGGACTCGCCAGGTTGCACCCTCCTCATCTTGTCTATGTGCGGGTCCCATTCTGGCTCCCACCGGGATTCCGAGTTTAACCTTACGACGACTAAGACAAATCTTCGGGGAGGGCAGCGCTTCTAGGAGGACGGTATTCTAACTCACCCAAAGCGCTGGCCGATCTCTTGAAATCTTTCGGAACTTGAACTCCGGTGGACCGCGCGACAGGTAGTACCTCTCTCGGTACGGATCTTCCGCCAACTAACCAGCTTGGGGCCCATATATTCTCCCAGCACCCGCCTCCCTTTCTCCTTATCAGGCAGCGCGTTATATTCGGAAGATCCTCAAATAATCCTCAAATAATCCTCAATTAATCCTCAAATATAAGCTCGCTACCCTCATTCCAATAATTAAATCCTCCGACTTCCTGATCTGGGGATAAGCCGTCGTTGTCGGAGATGATACTCAGCTCCACAGGTTCGAGCAAGGGTTCCAGTACCACGTAACGATTATGCTTGTGCATAAATTCGTGCCATGTATCTGACCACAAGGCGAGGAATTGGGGTTTTTCGAATGCCGGGTAGCTCTACGGCAATTCCAAAACCTCCATTTCGAGATGTTGACAACGGATTTAGCAGATCCAAATGAAAACCTTGCCTAGACTGGATAATTACTGTGAGACAGATCGACAGTGACATCAGATGACGGCATCAATGGTCGCAGTAACCAGCGAGACTCAGCCCTACCCGCCTAAGACAGCTGCCCTCAGCTAAGATAAGCGTGCAGGGGTGGGGCAACGGAATACGGAAAGCCGTAAGGATCAGAAGACCAAGCGATTTTCGAATCTGGTTTTCGACCTTTGATATCTGATTTGTGGCACGTACGCATCCCACCAAAAATCGCCCGCAACCAAAATACCGCATTCTGCAGGCATAACCACACCTAACTTAAGTCCCTTTATTACTATCTATTATAAGACTCGTATATATAATTAAATCATATTTCTAAATATAGATAATTTATAATATAATTAACTATAATACTTCTGAATTATTCTTATAAGGTTATACTAGCCCCGTACTACTACCTGTAATATTCCTCTACCCCTTCTCTCTATTTTTACTAATATATAACTAGCTTTATATATATAAGATATATATAGAAGAACAGAATTATATTAGATTAGAGAATTAGTTATAGAGGATATACTTGAAATAGCTAGTTAGTAAAAGGCATATCTAAAACCGGTAAAAATAAGTTAAGATATATGAAGTTACTAGTTTATAGGAGGCCTGCCCGAAACCGGTAATACTAAATAAGGATATACTTGAAGTAGCCGGCCGGTAAGAGATATATCCGAAACCGGTAGTAATAAATAAGGATATATATAGAGTTACTAGTTAGTAAGAGGCATATCCGAAACCGGTAATAATAAGTGAAAATATACTATAGGATAACTCGGTATGGATTTATACCTAAAATAGAGACAGATAGTCTTACTAATTCTTTAATATAAAGGGGTTTTCCTACTATATTCTTGTTTCTTAGATTACTATCTTTACTTTTTTTTACTCCTATTCTTAATCTAATTTCTTTAAAACTACCTTATCCAAGACTTTATATATTATAATACTATAGCCTATTATGAAAAGTACTAAAAGCAGAAGGATATTAACCCTTTTTATAGCTACTATAGTATTGTCTTTTTTTCCTTAAGCCCGATCGAATCCACCTCAGAAAAGAAGTATTTATAAAAGGCCCGTAAGCCAAAGCCAAAGCCTCTTGCCTCTTGCCCTTCCAAGAATAATAAGAGGAATAATAATAATAATAGTACTAAAGAGGTAGGTACTAGAAATTAGTATACCTATTAGGCCAAATTCTAAAAGAATAAAAAAGAGAGAGAGAAGGAAAGGAAAGAGAAGTGGGTAAGAAAGAAGAGAAAAAGTCTCTAAAGAACTATTACTAGGAATACTTTTCGTAGTATATAGAAAGATAACCTTGCCTTTACTAGGAAAAAGAAAAAGAAATCAAGGCTCCAAAAAAATACTTTAACTAAGGCTTATAGTTAGCGAGAATTAAAAGTAAAGGAAAATAATAAGAGAAAGTATAATAAAGAAGGGCTAACTAGTAAATATAGCCATAATCCTACTAATAAGCCTTTACTAATAGGCTTATTAATAACTATTTATTACTATATTAGCTATTTTGGGAAGCTATTTAAGTAGATTATTCTTTTAAAACTCCTATTTTTTCTTGACTCTTATAAGACATTTATAAGGCTTAGTAGCTAGGTACTTAATTGCCTCCTAAAATCTAATATCTAGAAAGATATTAGAAGAACTAAATACTATAAACTTGATCTTGAGGATTAAAGCCTAACTATAGGCTACCTTACTAGTAGGGTTACCTGCTCTAAAGTTCCGGACTTCCCGATTCTATTTAGAGAAAATCGCACTTTTAAATAATTCCTTAAATATATAAAGAAAATATATCCTAGTATAAACTATTAAGAGCCTAAACTCTATTTCCTTATTCCCGTTAAAAAAAAGTAGCCTCTATAGGATTATTAACTATATAAAGGGCTAATAATTAATTTAATAATAATCCCTGTCACGTGTGGCTGTCACGTGACTACGATCCAGCCATTTAACCGTAATTAGGCGTATTCACCGTGCGGTAAATACTATAGTCTTTTGGTCTAGTGAACTATAGTGCGAGCCTAATTCTCACACGTTACAATCCCTAATACTAATAACTTATTAAAAACCCTTAATACTAATAACTCTAATAATAATATAATTAGAAATAATTATATATCTAAAGAGAAGTAATATTAGTATTAAAGTACTAGTAAATAACTTAGTATTATCTATTAAGAGAACCGCAAGAGATCTAAGTCTTTATAAACTCTAGCTAGTAAGCCTATTCTAGCTACTAAAACTCTAGCCTATAAGCCTACCCCAGTTACTAAAACTCTAGCCCGTAAGCCCACTCCAGCTACTAAAACTCTAGCCCGTAAGCCTATTCTAGCTACTAAGCCTACTCTAGCTAGTAATTTAGAGAAGCCCTTTAATAAGATATTTAATAAATAATATAAGTAGCTAAGAGAGTCTATAATAAAAGATTATATTAATAAGTATTAGTATATATTAAAAAAGAAGCTAGCGGATCTTAAGAAAGAAAAGAAGTAATTTAAGATACGAAAATAGAGCTTTAAAAAAGAGAAGAATATAGTAATTAAAGAAAGTAATACCTATATAAATAGGCTTAATAAGAAAATACGGCTTTTAAAAGCTATAAAAGAGGAATTTAAAATTAAAAAATAAAGTCTTGCCGAAATTTATATAAAGAATCTTAAGAAGCTAAATATAAAGATACTTTTTTTTCTTTTAGGAGATTCTTAAAGCAAGATAGTTAAGGGGAAATAATTATTTATAAGTTTAAAGTATTTTAATAATCTTATAAAAAAGAATTTAGAGATTACGGACTTATAAGAGGAGATAAGGCTTATAATAGAGGCTTTTTAATAGAGTCTCGACTATATGGCACAAAACGAGGAGAGGCTTAGTAAGCTAGTTATTTAGTAAGATAAGAGTAAAAGCTTAATATTTACTATATAAGAAGCCTTTTAGGTAACTATATAAGAAATCTAGGGCAAAAGCTCGGGATTAGTAGTACTAGTAATCCAGGAAGCTTAGGGTAAAGGCTCTAGATCTCTCGAGGTAATTAGGCCTAATATTAATAAGAGCTCTCTATAGTTTATTAAGGATAAGGAAAAAGTATATAAATAATAAGAGACTATCTGGATTTCCTAGTATTATTAAATTAGTTATATTAAGAATCTTATTATTCTAGTAGCTAGTTAAATTAGAAATATAAAAAGCAATATTTACTTATTTCTAATTAACTAATTTCTAGTTAATTTCAAGAACTTGGGAATTATATAATTATATGCCTTTTTCCTCTAACTATATAATATCTCAAAAAATAGATATTATATATCTATTATAGTAAAGGGCTTTATTATTAACCTAATTAGGTAAGGTATAATACTATTTTATTATATTACTAGCTATTTATATAGCTATTTTATAAATAATTCAAATAAGCTTTAATATCCTTAGATCTTTATATATAGCCTAGTCTATAAACTAAAATAGCTCTATATCTAGTAATACTATAATTT